GGGACTGGGTTGTAGGAAGGTGTCACCTACAGTGCTCCTAGACCAGCAAGGAGGTCACGGCATTTTTGGAGAAAGAATCAAAATGTCCTTAGATGCAATGGAATCCTTATTACATTAATCCTCTGCTTTAATTGTTTCCTCTTGGAAATTTAGAGAGTTTTAGGCCAGAAGAGCCTGTCTCTACAACTGAAAGAATTCCACTCAAATGTATCATTCAACTGAGAATGACATGGAAACAAAATTATTTACTCTATTTCATTAAGTAGTAACACTCTTACTTATTTCCCCACTAACCAAGAAATAATGTATAACATTGTTTTCCCCAGTTTTCTTTGGATAATTAATCAATTGTTACTATGTTCTTGAACCTATGCGGCCAGTGCCCGCCAGTCAAGGAAACATTTCAAAAAATTTTATTTTTCTGTCCATATTCCCCCCAGTTTGGTGTCTGTAGAATCGCACTGTGTCTGATGCCCTACTTCATTTCCAAGACATACAATGTTTCTTGGTTCACAGAATGCACTCCAAAGTATTTAGGAATGAGTCAAGGAACAAACGGATGTTCTTCTTCTTTTTTTTTTTAATGTTTTTTATTTATTTCAAGGAGAGAGAGTGAGACAGCGTGAGCAGGGGAGGGTCAGAGAGAGAGGGAGCCACAGACTGAAACAGGCTCCAGGCTCTGAGCCGGCAGTCAGCACAGAGCCCGATGCGGGGCCCGAACCCACGAACCGCGAGATCATGACCTAAGCGAAAGTCGGACGCTTAACCGACTAAGCCACCCAGGCGCCCCGAGGGCTGCCAGTTGGTATGAGTGTGGAGAATCCAATCAAACTGAACAGGGTGTGTCCCACAGGCTGCAGCTGTTTAGGATCAATTCAGTCAGGGTGTGACCCTGGAATGTAGCCCTTGAATAGGTTTATTAACAGTTTTTCCCGGAATAAAAGGGAAGTCAAACAGGCATTTGCCTTGAGAAGAAACGGAGAAGTCTGGGTACTGGAAGAAGAGGAGAAGAAGAGGAATTGGCTGCTTGATTGTGGAACTCACCACACAACCCGTGTGGCCTCCACTTCCTCCAACTCTGGGTTCTGGTGAGTTCTCCACATGGTGACATGTGAGTTGGCCTCACCCTCTTAAAATTATGTAGGTTCTTTCTATCTCTCTTTAAATATCAGTCTAATCATTTTTTTAAATGTCTATTTATTTATTTATTTATTTATTTATTTATTTATTTATTTAGAGTGGGGGGAGCACAGAGAGAGAGGGAGAGAGAACCTGAAGCAGGATCTTCACTCAGTGCGAAGCCTGGCTCAAGGCTTGGTCCCACCAACCACGAGATCATGACCTGAGCCAAAATCAAGAGTCAGACACTCAAACGACTGAGCCACCAGCCACCCCTAGACATCTGTCTAATCAAAGCAGCTTCTTAGGATCTTTATATTTCATTGTGTCAACATGTAGGCCACCATTCTCATTCCCCATTTCTTACTATCTATGTCCCCTTTCCATATTGATCTTGAATCTACTTCAGTATTTTATCTGCCTACCCTGATTCTAGATCTTTGTTTTCCAACAAAATACTAATGAGCCACATGTGACTATAAGATTTAAAATCATAAGATTAGGGGCATCTGGGTGGCTCAGTCACTTAAGCGTCTGACTTTGGCTCAGGTCATGAACTCACGGCCCTTGAGTTGGAGCTCTGTGTTGGGCTCTGTGCTGACAGCTCAGAGCCTGGAGCCTGCTTCAGATTCTGTGTCTCCCTCTCTCTCTGCCTCTACCCACCTTGCACTCTCTCTCTCTCTCAAAAAAAATATACATTACAAAAAATGAAATCATAACATTAAATGACTGAACTTCAGATCTCAGCAGCGCTGGTCCGATTTCAGTACCCTAGAACCACCTGTGTCTGGTGGTTACTGTGTTGTACACTGCAGACATGGTTGGTGCATTTCTCTTGTCTTGGAAAGTTCTATCAGCACAGAGATCTACATATTATGTTTTTATTATTTTTTGTTGTAAATACTTCATTTTCTGCTTCTCCGAATTAATTTTTCTATGTGTTTCATCAAGTAATAAATAGATTTCAATTAGCATTATTATTCTGTGGACTAAATAGGCAAATATATGTAAGTCTGTAAGTACAGAGTCACATTTAATACAAATTTAACTTTCTTTTTTTTTTCTGGATCTCAGGTACAAATGGGTGAGTTAATGATTCCTTTGTTCATGATGATTCGCATTATTTCTCCATGAAATACATTCAATTATTATCGATGTCAGGGGAGAAATGGGTTTATAAAAGTCCTTGAATTGATTTACACTATCGTAAAATAGATTCTTAGTTGCTTGATATCCGGGTCTAGGGGGAACCCGAGAGCAGGAAGGGACTGAGGCTTCAGAGAGCAGCCATGCATGCTGGAGAATGATTGCTAGGGCATACGGCAAGAATAACGAAATCTGAGAAATTCCGCAGTGTGTGTCTGCAGGTGGAAACCAAACTCTGTATGTGGCATGAGTTGGGGAGCGCTCTACTCCAGAATCAGTGAGGGAATTGAAGAATTCTGGACACCATAGGCTAATGAACGTATGCAACGCAATGTTTATCATGTTCTGATTTGCAAGAGATCTGTTTTGTGATCTTCTTTATCTTCAACCACAACTACAACCTTGTATTTGACCCTGGGTTAGGGGTGACTCCTGCACGCTGTTCTTAGAGTGCACCACTTGTGGTTTGTTGGGCTGGGTGTCATACCCAGGTGAAGGTCTGGGGCTTCGTGACAGGTGAGACTGGAAATTGTGCACGGGACTGGATCTCACGGCTTCTTTCTCTGTCCTCAGCTTTGCCTGCTTAGCGCCTGGACTGTCTGTGAGCAGGAACCCAGAGAAAGACACCAGGCAACTGACTAATTGACAATGGTGAGTGGGGATTGCCTCTTTCTGCTGAAATTACACACTAGTCCATCTGAGGGGTGGGTTTTTCCTTTTGGAATGGATGCTGCAAGCAGAAACGGTTGGATGTTCAGGCATCTGTGCTCTAATTTCCCCAGTATTCGGGGATAGTGATTATCCATCAGGAATTTATCGATAATGAATTTCCTTCCTAACATTATGCACATTTATGAGAGCTTCCATTAAGCTTGTGTATTTACAGAAGAGATAAGAGAAGTCTTCCTTCCCTCTTCCAGCCCATGGCTTCATTGGTAGATAATTCACTTGTTAACCTTATTTTTGGATTCAAAGGGCTTAGGATGGTGGTGACTGCAAGTACTAGAGAAGTGCTAGGAGAATATGATAGTCCCAATGAGAGGCAGATGTTTCGGCATGTGAGTATAACTAATCCAGTGTTAGAAGACCTGGTATGAGCCTTGTTCAGCGTTAAGAGGAGCAGGAGAGAGGCACAGAAGGAATGAACAATCATTTTATGTTTTCTTCTCGATTCTATTGTATTATATTCTATTGTATTTGCTAATACAATCATTAGAATTTGCATTTTTTTTAATTTCAAAAAAAATACAACTAAAATCACCACTATCATATTTGTCCCCATTCACACATTGTTAGTAATCAACCTTTCCTCCATATTTGACAACTGAAAGGAATGTGGACAGAATAGTATTTTATTAATTCCACTACACATAAAGGAGAGAGAGTATGGTAGGTAGAATAAAATTAGATTTCTGGGGCGCCTGGGTGGCTTAGTCGGTTAAGCGTCTGACTTTAGCTTAGGTCATGATCTCACGGTTTGTGGGTTCGAGCCTCGAGTCGGGCTCTGTGCTGACTGCCAGCTCAGAGCCTGGAGCCTGTTTCAGTCTGTGACTCCTTCTCTCTCTGACCCTCTCCTGCTCACGCTGTCTCTCTCTCTCTCCTAGAAATAAATAAAACATTAAAAAAAAGCATAAAATTAGATTTCTGAATAAAGTTTTGAAAAACTGGGTAGACCCAAATGAGTCATGAGGTTTCCATTATCCTTTAGCATGGAGACAAAATAAAGATAGGAGAGAAACAGTGATATCTGGTGTATGAGGTCCCAGAGAAGATTGGGATTAGAAGCCATTGTAACACAGGACCAGTCAGGCCAGGGCCCAGGGGCACTGTCTTCCAGCACAGCCATCTCAGACGTCCTGGCTTGTGCTGCTGAGCCTTCTGGCCTTATAGTTTGTTAAGAACCTGAGTCCTGTAGCATGAAGAAAGCCATCTATGAATCTTGTTCACTTCTGAGGAATGCTGGTGATTTCTTCAAGCTTTTCTGACATTTTAATGACCAATAATGTCTTATCTTTAGTGCAGGTTTGCTAGACAGGAGACACTCCCTACATAAATGCCTTGTATCATTCAACATTCATAACATGTGAATAAACCACTTTGTAGATGAGAGATGAGACGTTCATCTAGGGAATAATTTGAACCAATGATTATGGTTTAAAAGGAGCACACCGTGGTTATTATTTGTCTTGTGATAAATCTGAGTGAATATTGTATGTCTATTTATTTATTTATTTACAGAGAGAGAGAGAGAGAGAGAGAGAGAGAGAGATGGAAAGAAAGTTGGGGAGAGGCAGAGAGAGAGAGGGAATCCCAAGTCTCACAGAGCCTGATGCAGAGCTTGATCTCATGATTGTGAGACAATGACTTGAGCCAAAATCAAGAGTTGGTCACTAAACCAACTGAGCCACCCAGTTGTCCCTCATGCAAATAGTTTATAATCCTTGTCAGAAAGTTCAAATCACCAGGTTATTGAGACACGTCCAGGTTGTATGATATCACACTTCATGCGATTTTCTTTTATAATAAAGTATTATAAAGTCAGAGTGTGGAGATCTCTGTAAACATATCCAACAGTTCAGCACTGACAGTGAACTGACAGGAAGCCCCAAACACATACTGATCTTTCCATACACCCAGCTCCTCCACCCCCTTCCTCAGTGCTGTCATCTCAACCCTCCTACACTGGAGTCTGTAGGGAGTGCTCTACCTAAACCAGAATATCCATGATGTTTTAGGAATCAGTGACGTTTGAAGATATAGCTGTAGACTTCACCAAAGAAGAGTGGGCTCTGCTGGACATGTCCCAGCGGAAGATGTTCAGAGATGTGATGCTGGAAAGTATCAATCATCTCATCTTTCTGGGTGAGTCTCCCAACATGTACATGTGTGTCCATGCATTCATTCATTCATTGAAGAAATATCTAGAACAGCTCCACATATCCCACTCCAAACGCTGCCCTGATTCTTTTATAACTCTCATAATTATATAGAAGGGAGATGTTTCTTCACCTTGTACTTTTTGTCACCACACTGGATTGTAATCTTGACCACAGATTCACACCTTTCTTGTGACTCAGTCTCCAGCATTCATAATAGAATTGGAAATTCGCTGGATATTTTAATTCCTAAATTGACTAAACATTTTAAAAACAATTACTGTTTTCGTCACTATGTGGAGGATTGAGACCAGAGTTGTGAGAATAACATTACTTTGATTATTCTTATGGGTCTTATATTCATCGATGCTGTTTGGAAACAATTTTCAACCTAATGTGGGGACATTGATTCTCTCCCATTTTGAAAAGGCTGAGGATTCTGCATTCTTTCTCTGAACTCGTGTGTGGGTATCAGCATCTAGCATGTTCATTGCTTTTGCCTCCATCTGGATTTCTTCTTCGTCTGATGAATGACCTTCAGTGTGGTCTCTGTTGAACTTGTTGATACATGGGTTGACCTTCCATAATATCTTCATTCATCATTGGTATATCTTGCCCTGGACTTGGCGATACCAAAGTTAATCCCACATACTATGGTGTCTCCTCAGATCGCATAAATCTTTTGCCTTTTACCAAAGTTAATCCAACAGAACTCAAAATCCATATACTTCCCCTACCCCCACCCCCACCCCCACCCACACTAGTCTGAGTATGTCCTTAGAAATACACCCTGAAGATTTTGTCAAGTGAGTGATACTTTCTAAAACGTAAATGAGGACATTGGGACAGAATTCCTCAGGTGGTTACAATCCTTGCATAAATCAATCACAATGCATGTTTCTTCCTGCCCCTGTCTTTTTCTTTAGGGAAAAACAATATTCATGCCATTACTGCAGTGAAACATTGATGTAACGGTCCTGATCCTCCCATTAAGAGATCTTCGAACCATTTGCTGACCCAACATCTTTCCACCACTTTACATCTTTCATATTATCAATGCTCATTGTTTTCTAATTGACAATGAATTTTAAAATGTTACTATGACCTAGAGTATTTATTCATTTGGCACATTTTCCCAATGAAGTGCCAATTTCTGAATTATACTTCTGTGGACCCTGGTGCTTTTCTACATTTTTATTCCCCTAATGCTGTTCTAACAATTAATATTTTTTCAAATATTTTAGGCATGGAAAGTCTCCACAAAAAACAAGAAATGATATTAACACGACATACCAACAAAAAGGGCATAGCCCTGACTGTGCCAAAGGTAAGTGTCATGGGTATAGTCCTTAGACATCCAAACTAAAGGCCTAAAGGTAATGAGATATTTTGGTAACTGAGTACAATTGCCTGAATGTTATTAAGTTAGGATTAAACTTTTTCCAGGCAAAAGGTTTTGGATAGTTTTAAATCAGCAAAGAAAGTAACATGAGCTCAAATCAATAATAACCCAATAGAGATACAATTGCATCAACATTGTTTATTACCTAATCTTCTAAATATACTGAAGCCTTCAAACTTAATCTGATACCTCTGAGGTTGGGATATTAAAAAAGAGAAAATATTGCTGCTTGCAGAGGAGTAACAACATGTATATGCAACTAACATTTAAAATATTTTAACAGAAGTCTATTACTAGTTGCTACTCTAGAATACATATGTAGAAACATAATGTATGCATGTATGTGGGCAAACCATTAACCAACTCTCATCTTCTCACCAAAGCATAAATATCTTGCTCCAGAGAATCTTATTGAATGTATTGATTTGGGTGATGAGTTTACTCAGAGATCTACATTGACTCAACATTTGGTAATACACCTCAGGAAGAAACATTACACCAGCAAACGGTGTAGAATATCACTTAGTGAACAATCACCCCTTCCTCGACATAGCCAAATGCACACACGAGGCAAATTATATAAATATCATGTGTGTGGGAAAGCCTTCAGTAATTGCTTTTGCCTTAGGAGACATGCGATGATTCACTCTGGAGAGAAGCCATTTAAATGCCACTTATGTGGGAAAGGCTTTGTGCAAAACTCTGACCTTAGAAACCATAATCAAACACACACAGGAGAGAAACCATATGAATGCCATGTGTGTGGGAAAGTCTTCAGGCAGAATTCTTACCTGAGACAGCATGAGAAAATTCACACTAGAAAGAAACCATACAAATGCCATCAGTGTAAGAAGGCTTTCAGTCACAGATCCTACCTTAGAAAACATGAGAAAATTCATTCTGGAGAGAAATGTTACCAGTGTCATGAATGTAAGAAAACATTTAGTCAGAGCTCTGGCCTTAGCCAGCACAAGAGAATCCACACCGGAGATAAACCACGTGTGTGTCCTTTGTGTGGGAAAACCTTCAGTCAAAGTTCTGAACTCAGACGGCACGAGAGAACACACACAGGGGAGAAGCCATATGAATGTCACCAGTGTGGGAATGCCTTCAGTCAATACTCTAATCTTAGACGACACGAGAGAACGCACACTGGAGAGCAACCTTACGCATGTCAGGTGTGTGGGAAAGCCTTCAGCCATTATTCTTCCCTTAGACGACATGAGGGTACCCAACACCAGAGAGAAAATCGGGAGTACCCTCAGTAAGTATTCTGAATAGAGACGACATGGTATTACAGATGCAATGAATGTGGAAGAAGTATCAGTCACAGCTTTAATGTTTAAACTCACCACTGGATGCACATATTGAAGGAAAAGCCTGTAGTCATTATGGGAGATCCTTCAGTCCTCATACTCCTCCATCAAGAAATGTATTTGCATGAGGAAGTGAATTCATATATATGCCACCCATGTGGCAAAGCCTTAATCACTGATCTGATCTTAGATAACAAGGCAGAACACATGCTGTCAATACAATGATACAGATGTTTTCAGCAAAGCACTCAACTTGAAAGATACTGGAACACTTGTTTGTAATTATTGTTCAATATGAACCAATCTGACATGGGAGAACCCCTGGGTCTGTAATCACTGAAAGAACATTCAGCCAAGTACCTGGTATGGTGAGCACAAGAAAATTCAGTGAAGGAATAAACACTGAGGATGTAAGAAGATGAAGGCTCTGAGGAATACCAAACAATTCTTACAAATAATTCAGACCAGAGAAGTTATTCCATGTAAAATCATGGGAAATCCTTTATTCAAAGAACAGCTCGTGTGGCACATGTGAGGATTCAGACTGTACGAAACACTCTCAGTGTGGTGAGTGAAGAGGAGTCTTCAGTGATCCCTTGTTTCTGAGTCAACAGTAAGGTTCTCACACTGAGGAGATAGCAGTCCTGAAGTCAGAGTAGAGAACACTTCAGCCAGATTTTGTATCAGAAAATATTAGCATGTGTGTATGTATGTGGTGGTAGTGCTTCATATGTAAGTGTCCTTTAATACGTAATTCATCAAGTCATTGAGATTTTGATAAAATACCTATTGATGAAAATGTGGCATGGAATATAGGAGAGTGACATCTGGCAATATTGAATGTAGGATTTTGTAAGAAGTTAAATGTTTATTGTAGATCAACACTTGTAAATATTGATACAATAAAACCTGTTGCTAAGGAAACTAAATGTTGGTGTCCTTGTTTTCTCTATGTGGTTGTAAACATAATCAGTTCTGAACTCCTTGGTATGTGGGTGAGAGACTTATCTGATGGCTCAGCCATGAATCACCATCCTCCCTAACCCTTGGCCTACTGAATCACCTGGAGGTAAGGGATAGGTCTTGGTTCCTCCTAGGGTGGGTTCTATGTTAGTGTTGGGACCCCTAAGATGGATGCACACACCTCTATGTCCCAGTGGGATTTATCTCCACCTACCCATGGATGTGTATTGGGCAGTTATATTGAGATTAAGGGACTTCAGTATAGGGTTGATCATATACAATTATATGATCACAGTGGGGCATAATCACACTATATGTTTGAGTGGCAGACTGACAGCCTGATGGAGTGGGGAGGGCCCTCACAGGATGATATTTTCTTTTTTTTTTATTTTTTTTAATTTTTTAAATTTATTTCTAGGAGAGAGAGAGACAGCGTGAGCAGGGGAGGATCAGAGAGAGAGGGAGTCACAGACTCTGAAACAGGCTCCAGGCTCTGAGCTGGCAGTCAGCACAGAGCCCAACGCGGGGCTCGAACCCACGAACCGCGAGATCATGACCTAAGCGAAAGTCGGACGCTTAACCAACTAAGCCACCCAGGCGCCCCAGGATCATATTTTCTGGTGACCACAATGTGGGGCCATGACCCAGGAAGATAAGATGGCAAAGAAACTCCCCAGAGGAAAGGGGTTGGAGAAGGGGCTTACCTGCGGAGAGGATGTCTCTCAACAGCAAGACAGGGAGTCTCTGAGCAAGAGAATTATGAGTGAATCACAGGAGCTTGGAGACACTGATATTCATGGTTTATCTTATTTCCTGCTAGTAGACATTAGGTGGTGATTCACAGGGTATGTACGGGAGATATGGCCATGCTTAAAATGGCTTAAAATCTACCAATTTGGGCTATGTTTATATCAATTCAGTGTGTAAAAATTTGAATTTGGCAACAATGGTATTTTGAGTCTAAGAACTCTGTCTGCTGTGAAGAAATAAACAACATAGGGCTGATATGCAGAGACAATCTTTGGCTCATCCATAAACCATGACTGATCATTTCAAATGATTTACATTCATGTTCATTGATTAGTTTGTCTTTTTATCAAATCCGATGCTGGAGCTCTCTTACGATATGTTTTATTTCATTTAGCTATTGTATTTTCAACTTAAGAACTTGTATTTAACTCCATTTTAGAATTTATCTCTATGTATTGAAACTCTTGATTTGGTAAAAGCATGTTCTTCTTGGGGTCCTTATTTTTTATCGGGTATCATTGAATGGTACTGTTAAAGCCATATCCTTAGTAACAGTATCTTCCGTTTCCTTACTCCCTCTCTCCATCCCCAGAATGAACTGGACTTCATTTCTTCTTTTGTGTGTTTCAAATTATTATTTAAATTCTAGTTAGTTCACATATGGTGTAATATTGGTTTCAGTAGTAGAATCCAGGGATTCACCACCTACTTATGACACCCAGTGCTCAACCCAACAAGTGCCTTCCTTAATTCCCATCACCCATTTAGCTCATCTCCCCACCTCCCTCTCCTCCAGCAACCCTAAGTTTGTTCTCTGTAGTTAATAATCTCTATTGTTTCTGTGTCTCTGTCTCTGTCTCTGTCTCTGTCTCTTCTTCCTTCCCCTATGTAGAAGTACTAAAAAAGAGCTGGTGCCATGGGGTGGGACTCCAATACACATACCATAAATGCCTTACAATATAAGAAAAGGTTTATAATGAAAATAAGAACTGTCCTAGAGATGAAGGATAGCAATAAGCTACACACAGTAATAGCCTGGTCCCATAGTTCAGTCCAGTAGGGGATTTTTTAAAATATTTAATCTGGACTTTCACATCCAAGTAGGTAATATATAAATATTTGTGCTTAGATAGGTTTAATAAACAACATTGTAGTAATGAGATATGGAAACAGTTATGGAAACTAATAGTTTTAAGCATACATTGAACATTAAAGTGAAATATACAGAAATTTAATATATTAATAAGAGTATATATATGGGGCGCCTAGGTGGCTTAGTTGGTTAAGCGTCCGGCTTTCGCTTAGGTCATGATCTCACGGTTCGTGGGTTCGAGCCCCGCGTCGGGCTCTGTGCTGACTGCCAGCTCAAAGCCTGGAGCCTGTTTCAGTCTGTGACTCCCTCTCTCTCTGACCCTCCCCTGCTCATGCTGTCTCTCTCTCTCTGTCTCTCTCCTGGAAATAAATAAAACATTAAAAAAAAAGTTGTCAAAAAAAAGAGTATAATTCACAAATAAACATGGAAAGCAAACAGAATAAATAAATATCCAGAACTATAAGAATAAATAAATGCTTGAAATGTAAAAGCAAATTTTGTAATAGAATATCCACGAAGGCAAATCAAGGAATAGTCTCTATTTTATTCTCTATGTACAGATCACTTCTAAATATTATTTACATTAGATTTCTCAAAAGAGAAATACATTTATTTTCCTTTTCTCCAGGAGCCTGAATGACTCCATTCAAATGTATTTTCTCTTCCTTTCCCAGGCATGCATGTAGTTGCAAATGAAAGCAAAGGTATGGATAACTTCCTTTTGTGTGTGTGTAATAACTTCCTTTAAAGAGCAAAGTAAGAATTACACCTATATATCAACAGAAATAAATAAAAGTAATGAATTATCAGTTAGGTGCTCCCAAAAAGTTAATTTTTTGTCAGGATTCTAAAGTTCATGAAAAATCCTTTAAAAACATATTAAAGACATTTTCGTATAAGAACACAAAGAAAGATGCTCTTCAGGTAAATGAAAATTATCCCAAATGATGGAAATGGAAATGAAGATAAAGGAAAGAGTAAAGAGTAACAAAAAGCGCACATTTTTATGTGGTTAAAAACAATCAAGTATTGTATAACACTGCTAAATTTTTAAAAGTCACGTATGGCATATAAACACACACAGGGTGTATGTATATATATATCCTTCTTCATGGCTTATGTACTATAATATCAGTATATTCATTTATATGCTGTACTGTAATACAATTGTACTGTGTTAGTAAACTATCACACTGCTGTTACAGTAAATAATTAGAGTTAAAGCCCAAAGAGATGCCAAATACTAGTTCATACTTCATATTCCTCTTTAATAACTCAAGGATGCAAGTCTTCCCTTATGAATAATTACTTTGAATATAAATGAATTAAATAACCCAACTTAAAGACATAGAATTAACAGAATTGATTAAAAATTTTAAACAGAACCACAAACAAACAAAAATCATGATCTAATTATATAATGTCTGTAAGATATTCCACTTTATTCTAAAGCTACCACTAGGTTAAAAGTTAAAGGGGGGAAAGATATGCCATGGAAATAGTCACCAAAAGAGAGTAAGCGTAGTTATTTTAATATCAGACAAAACAGGCATTAAGTCCCAAATTGATACAATAGATAAACAAGGACGTCGGATATTGATTAAAGAGTCTATAGCAGATATAATACATGAAAATATTAGAACTACCAAGTATATGAAGCAAACATTGACAGAATCGAAGGGAGAAAAGGAAATACTTCTACAATAATCGACGGAGACTTCAATACCTACTTTCAATAATGGACAGAATAACCAGATAGAAGATCTGTATACAAGGAAAGTAACTTAAACAACGGTATATCAGTTAGTCCTCACAGATATATGATACACTCCACCGAACAACCCATAACAAGTCAAGTCCATGAGGAACATTCTCTGGACCAGACCATATGTTTGGCTGCAAAAAACTGTTAATAAATTTAAAAAGATTGAAATCATCAACAAAATACTGTTTCTGTTCACGGTGGAAAATAAGTAGAAAATGATGACGGAAGGAAAACTGAGAAATATAAAATATGTGGAAGTAAAACAATATATATATATATTTTAAGTGTTAAACGTTTATTTTTTTTTAAAGAACAACAATTTTATTTCAACAAAAAAGAACACCCACTTAAAACTTTATTGAAGTCCACTTTATCAA